AAATGTTGTTTTTGACTAGTAAGTGTTTTCTATTTCAAACACTACCAGCTCGTTTGGTTTGATTGTGTGTCAAGAGATTACCTATAATTCTGATGCATTTTGCTATTTCCATTGTTTAGTTGGTCCAAGATAATGTAAATCAGATTACATTATGTAAAGGGGATTGTCTCAAATCCTGTAATCTAGAATACATCAATGAACCTATGTAATCCCCATTGCCACTTCCTTTATCTCACAATACCGCTCCCCATTTGTGTGCCCCTCCTCCCTCCCTCTTCCTCTCCTCTGCCAGTGTCCTCCATCTTCAACATCTCCTCCACCAACAGCACTCCTTGAGCCGCCTTCCTTTTACCCACAACTGCCAACCTCTTCCTTCTTGCACCACCATCATTCTTCTCCAATTGTAGATCTTGTTCTTCTCCACCTCAATCTTGTTCATCACACCACCATTGTTCACATCACATCCGCCATCGCACCCTTCTTAAATTTCGCACCACACTCGTCATTCACATCTCTTTCTTCCCCAGATTTGATTTTTAATCCTCATCTTCAAATTCCTTTTTCATATTGTGGGCTTTTCGTTCTCATTATGCTGCTGTGTATTTTGGTGGATCATCAGCAATAGTAATTTGACCGGGAAGCATCAAAGAAAGAGGAGGATGGGGGAGTTTTTCTTCTTACGAATAAGGCTACAATGGTCATTTCATTATAATCATGATTGCACCACATTACATTCCCAGCCATTGCATTGATATATTTGTATGTGCGCAGGCTTTTAATTGTATTATATAAAAAAAATGTCAAAATTTCAATAAACTTGATCTTCCAAATTTATAATTTTTTGCTAAACCATCTTATTGATTATACATACTAAAGAGATATCAAAAACATATTTTAAGAAACTAAAACACTTTTTTTATTGAGTTCAGAGTATCCACTGCCAATAACAGTGACTAATCCCCTCGCACTGTAAATTTCTCAAAGGGATTTTAGTACTGGTCACGAGACCCTCATACTAAAACATATTTTTATAAATAACTAATTTAATTAATCTTTTTAATCTTTGCAAATTAATTATATAACTTTTATATTAATAACTGAAACGAGCATTTAAAATTTTGCAACCATCTCTATGACATTACTGCTTAAGTATGTATAGTTAATTAGGAACATAACCATTGTAGAATTGGGAGTTTTCCACGTTAATTGTGAAAACTCTTAAAATCTACTTTAAAAAAAAACTAATTTACAAGTTTTTATAGTTTCCCGCCTTTATTTCTTTTAAATTGGGCCTTAATACTTTAACCAGTTTGTTAAGTTCATCCATCCCTTATGCTCCTCCCCCCCCCCCCCCAACCAGATCCATCCCTAATGGTCTAAACCATTATAACACCGTTAATTTTAATGAGTTGGAAGCTGATTAAGCTGACATAGAGATATGATAATGTGATAGGTGGATTAATTCCCAATGTTCATTTGCAGGGTAGGGATCCGATTGAGAGTGATCTTTTCTTCCTCCTATTAGAGGCTGCACTCAAGAACTCGGATGGTGAGGATGAAGACGAGGAAGCACTATGAATGGTGAAGACCCCAAACACTGGGAATTAGTCCACCTGGCAGCAAAGTCATGTTGTCATGTCTCTGTGTTGGCTCAATCAGCCTCCAGCTTGTTAACTGTTATCGATGTTATAAGGGTTAGACTCTAATGGATGAAATGACTTAACGGATTAAAATATAAAAGCCCAATTTTTTTTTAAAAAAAGGGTTAATACAAATTTTAGTCCCTCAAATTTGGGCCCAATTTGGTATTGGTCCCTGAAATTTAAAACGTATGGTATTGGTCCCTGAAATTATGTCCGTTTCAGACCGTTGGTCCCTGGCATCTTAGCACCGTTAAATTTTGCTGAGGTGGCGTTAACACCGTTAAATTGATGAATTGGCATATGACCTGGACATGATATTGGTCCCTCAAATTTAGGGTCATTTTGGTGTTGATCCCTGAAATTTAAAACTGATGGTATTAGTCCCTCAAATTATATCTGTTTCTAGCTTTTGGTCCCTGATAGCTTTAGGCCCTCCTCTTTTTATCTGTTCCTGTAGAACCCTCTGCTTTGTTGTTATCTGGTCTTAGTGGCTCTGGTGGCTTGCTGGTTGTGCCTGTCTTTTTGTTGGAGTTGCCAGTGAGGTTCTTGTTGCTTTTTCTCAAGCTTCTTACTCTAGTAATGGTCTTCTCTTTTTTCTTGGGAGGTTCATCATCGTCTGTACTAGAAGAAGATGGCTTCAATGGGAGTGATTTTGTATCTGAAGCCGGCTTCTTCTTCTCATGAACTGTTAAGTCACCTTTTTGCCCAAAGATAGCAGAGGAGGTAGAAGATTTAGCTGGGAATGCACTGCGTTTCCTCCACACTAATAGAGGAGCAGAAGCTCTGTGTTTTGACAAAAGTGAATCCCAGATTGCATAGATTCTCTTCGACCATAGCCTTCCATTACTCATGCCATATCATCAAGTTTTAGCTGCCAAGTCAAATGCCATATCATAGGTTAACAAAGTTAGAGCCAACTCAGACAAATTTGACGACGTAAAGCTATCACGGCCCAACGACCAGAAACAGATATAATTTGAGGGACTAATACCATCTATTTTAAATTTCAGGGACCAATACCAAAATGGCCTCAAATTTGAGGGACCAATACCATGTCCAGGTCATATGCCAACTCATCAGTTAACGGTGTTAACGCCACGTCAGCAAAATTTAACGGTGCCAAGATGTCAGGGACTAACGGTCTGAAACGGACATAATTTTAGGGACCAATACCACACGATTTAAATTTCAGGGACCAATACCAAATTGGGCCCAAATTTGAGGGACCAAAATTTGTATTAACCCAAAAAAAAAATATAAAGACCTTGTTCAAAATTGACGCAGTGTGCGTTTGGAATGCCATTTGCAACTCCAAACGTACATGGGAAAATGTACAACTAATGTTAGTGGCTTATTTTTACAATGATGCTTGTTTGGATCAATTTTTTTTCAAATGGGTTTTGGGGAAAAAAAGAGTTAGTTACAAGAAAAACTGAAAATTTGAGCTTGCCGTTCACAATAAGAGAGAAAACAACAAGAATGAAAAGTAAGATAATAGCATTTAAATGGGTCTTATCTTGACCTAATAATTTCTCTTTTTTTTTTCCTTCTAAGAAGAAAAAATTACATAATAAAATTTAATTGTTTTAATTTATTACTTTCCTTGAATTTATCAAATTGTATAAATATGATATGTTATTTTTTCTCTTTAATATGATATCCCAATAGACTAATTTGAAGAGATTAACAAAACTAAATAAATTATCAAATTAATATCATATAATATAAAACACTATTATTCAATAAAATTTGTGTCTTTTTTAGTTATTTTACATTTAAACATACTTTTTCATTAATCATCTAAACAAGTTTCAGCCTATTCAACTGGCTTTTTATAAACACATCCAAACATAAATTACATTACACTAATTTTTATTCTAACTTGAGTTTATAAAAATCAGTTTTGTCACCGCTAATCCAAACACACCTGTAAATTATAAGGATCCCCAAATTAGATTTCCCCTAAAAAAAAAAACTCATATTCTTAAATAAGCATCTCATGTTCAACAAAAATAAATGAATTAATAACCCGTGAATCAATATTCTTGTTTCCCAAATTGGATGGACACTTTATACTGTTTGACTTATGATAGGTAAGACTCGCTATAAATTTTTTACTGATTGGAGTTACCTCGTAATCACAATCCCAACCTTCATCCAATCATGCTTTAGGGTTCTTCCAGGTATGACTGGGAAGAGCACGAGATAACGGAGAATTTGTGCAGAGAAAAATAAACAGAAAACTCCAAACAAATACTGATTCTAGTTGATCAGATGATCCAGAGAGCACATGCACCAGCCCCCGGTAAGGTGGAAAACTGCTTACACAAATCAATTTAATTCATTTCTCAACTACGAATGAAATAAAGTGGCAACAAACTCAAATTTGCTTTCTTATTTTTGTCCCCCCTCTCAAACAATATAACCCCAATATGTTACATGGACAAGTCGCAAATCATCCGTGCACCATCAATTAGATACACACACACACACACGTTTTCGAGGGTGAGACTAGACACAATGGCAATATTGTTGCTGTGTGATCTGGAGATCACCGGTTTAAATCGTGGAAATAGCCTATCTACTTCTGAAGATAAGCAAGGGACATCTGTCCCTCCCCATACCCTACCTAATGTGAGGCTTGTACACTAGGTTGCCCTTGTGTGTGTGTGTGTGTGTGTGTGTCCGTTTTTTAAATAAAACTAGACAACTCATCATGCTAGAAAGGTCTAATAAACTACTCCCACTAAAGACTAAAGCAGTTTCACAAAAATCAATGACAGCATGAGAATGCCTACACACAGGTGCGGGCGCCACCACACTTATGAATGACTGAACAGAACTTCAACCAAATTGTGACATCTTAATGAAACCCAGAAGATAAAGCTAACAATGCCTACTTCCAATGGAAGGTTCACTTCTAAAAATGTAGAAGTTTAACTGTCAAAAGGTAAAGCAAGAGGGGGGAGCTTGAACAATAGACCAAAGCAAAAAAGGGAAAATGCATCCATTAGTCCAAAATAGAAGAAAGCGAAAATATAGAATGCAGGGTAAACAAATTGAAGAACTAGATAACTTCCATCAATTGTGGATATTTCAAGCAACATTATCAAGCGAGAGACCCAAAATGAAAATGGAAGAAGCAGAGTAAACAAAGAAAATTGCAAAGAAAGAGGTTTTAATTTAAAGCAACGAGAGAGGGGGAAAAAACATCAATTACTTTTCAGGCCTCTCAATCTCATACAATATAATAAGCCAGTGGCATATTTTCCAGCACTAAAAAAGAAAAAAAAAAGGGGAAAAAAAAACCATCAGGCACATCTGCTATTAAATATCCGCACTTTTTTTTTCCCCAGATCAAGCATCTTCAATGTAGCTATTGCCAACAAATACAAGGCTTTCTGCGTAATCATAAATACTATGAATAGGGGCAAAATTGGAAACAACAAACCTTTTTACTTCATTGGTAGTGATATTCATCGAATATAGAACATTTCTTCCCTTCTCATTATCCTCTGCAGAAGTAGCTTTGCAGATAATTTCATTCCTCCACATAGTCATTGATTCTAACGTGCGTGAAAAGGGGCTGCTGGTATATCTTCTAGTCCAGCTCCATGTCTCCCCAGATGCACATGCACCCTCATCTAACACCCACAAATCAATCAAATCAGCTGTTTCATCATCGTCTTCCCAAACGTCACAAAGTATGGCAAGTTTGTTCTCGTAAACAGTAAGCTTTTCGTCTGCATTATAGTCTAAATTGGGCCTCGGTATCAATGTAAACACTTCCTTTGCTATGTCAAATGAAACTATAACCTCAACCTCATCTTCACTCTCCTCCATATCATATTCATCCTCCTCGGCCTCAATATTGTCTTCACCCCCCTCTGCACCTAGCTTTACCCCATACCAAAATATGGCTCCATTTGCCGTGACAGTTTGAGACTCAAGTTTGACTCCCTTTAAATTCCCAATATCTATTACCTTCCAAGACCCTCTGTTTAAGGAAAACACTTCCACTCTATTAACCGCATCATAAAACTCAATAAGTTCTTACTATCTGGTAATCATTAAGAATTGGGCTGAACCCAAAACCGGTCACGCAATCATCAAAGTCAAAACCATCAGTTCTAGTTCTAGGAACTTGCTTGACTGCTGTAGTCGCAGGATTCCACAATGAAAGCGAAGGAGGAGATTTATTGTATTGATTGATTTCAACACAAAGCATGCCATTGCAGGAACCGAGGATCCTAGCACCGCTCAAGGAATCGATCAAAGGTGCCCTCTGAACTTTACGTACTTGCAAGCCGCAATCCAGCAAACCCAAGCGCCGGCGCAAAGAATTATGACTCCCATTACATTCGAGAAGAAGAGAAGGGTTTTGATTACTGGACTGTTGAACGTGGTCCACGATGAAAGATGGATTTTTTTATGAGATCTCTCCAATGTTTACACACACATTGAAATCGAAATAGGGATTTTACCGGAAGTCGTTTCAGAATGTTTCTGATGATTTCTTGAGGAAGATATAACACGTCGCTGTCCATTGTCGTCTGCTTCATGATTCTCGGCTCGAACGGATTTCTCAGGGGAGAGCCCTTGCGGCCAACAACGAAGCCATTAGGCCATCAGAGAATTCAGATTACACTGACTAGACCAAAGAAAACAGTTGGGTCGCTGGTTTATTGCACTTCCGTTCCTTCTTTCTTTTTTTTTTTTTACTAAAACATGGATATCTTCCTGGTAATCTCGAGACAATCATATTTAAGGTACTATAGGTAGTAAATATGGACACCTCTCCTAACAAGAATTCAAACCTTCATCATGTTGTGAAAAACTAGTCCATTCCGCTAGACCGCAACTCATGTTGACACTTCCACTCCATTTTGCTGAAACAAGTCCAAAACTTTTGTCCTGGGCCCTCAAATCAAAACCTTAAGTAAGTACTACTATTAATTCAAAGATGTAAATGATTATATCATATATTTCCTCCCTCCTTATTAATAAGACGTAATAATAACTTAAAGTCGGGAATAATTATTTATCCGCCAATGCCTTAAATATAATTATCTATTATAAGAGAATATTGTACCTAACAATAGTTAGCAAAAGGAAAATACATTAGTTTAAAATTAAACAGCAAAAAAAATGCCGAATCATAATAGAGAAATCCAACAACATCAATAGTGGGACAGGCGGAAAAATATCAATTACATTTGAAAATTCAAGTAACTATGGAGGCATTGTTAAGGAAAAAAATTAATTCTGTTAGCTGCAGATAAATTTAGAAGTTCAAATTAAATTTAAAAGTTACTTAAAATACTTTTAAATGTTTAATCTATCCATTATTAACATATAAAAGTAAAGCATAAGGTAGGAGTAGCTGACAGCACAGGCACGTGGCATCATCTATGAGTAGATAAATGTTCTTTTTTTCCTTAAAAAAAATCCCACCTTTTTTAACTATTTTTTTTTTAAGATTTCCTACCCATGTTACTGATAGTCCTATATATCCGTGTTGGTGATCGTGTTTAGTTTAAACTAACAAACCCAGAATTCCTAGAATTTGTTATTTTTTCAAATTAAATCATGGGTATTCAATTTGAGAGTTTTTGGTTGGAATTCTGCCATATGAAAGTTTGTATTTGAAATCCAAAGCATTGTTATGCCAAATTATTTGAAATCCAAAGTTTTGTATTTGAAAGATGGTATATTTATCCAGTCGTGATTATAACTCTTTACTGTATACGCCAATGCCACTTAATGTTTAAATTGGCCACTTAATATTTAAATTGATTTATAAATTGATAAATTATAAGCAGAGCTATAATGACAAAATCAGAAAACATGGGGTAGTTTTTTATTATTAAATTGATTTATAAATATATTAATATTTAAATTGATTTATAAAATGGTAAATTATAGGAAGAGCTATGATGACAAAATCCGGAAACGTGGGGCAGTTTTTTTATTATTAAATTGATTTATAAATCTATTAATATTTAAATTGATTTATAAAATGATAAATTATAGGAAGAGCTATAATCACAAAATCTGGAACCGTGGAGTAGTTTTTTATTATTAAATTGATTTATAAATTGATAAATTATAGGAAGTGCTATAATCACTAAATCTGGAAACATGTCCCAGTTTTTTATTATATATTTAAATGCAATCTTCTAAAAGAAATTCCTAATAAAATCATATAATTGTATCTTTTATTTGTTATCAATTATTAATAAACTAAAAAACCACTAAGCCACACCCTTAGAGTGTGGGCATCATCACGCATTATTAAGTTTCATTTGGGACATTTTTTATTATTAAATTGATTTATAAATCTATTAATATTTAAATTGATTTATAAAATGATACTACCTCTGGTCCTTAATATAAGATCTTGTTTGACATTTATTTTGGTCGCAAAATATAAGACTCCAATCCATTTTGTCTCTTATATTTATGTTTTTTTTTTCCTAAGGTAACCCTTCTAACAATGGTAGTTCTAGCCAATACACTTGATTAGTAAGGATATTTTAGAAAAGATAACACCTATTTATTACAAATAACTAACTTAACTTCTTTTCTTAATCTCCTCAAATTAGTTAACTAGCTCTTATAATTAGGACTGGAGGTAGTAAATTATAGGAAGAGCTATGATGACAAAATCCAGAAATGTGGGCAGTTTTTTATTATTAAATTGATTTATAAGAAGTTGATAAATTCAAGGAAGTCATGAGAATTGGAAAATTTATTTACTTAGAATACTTCACAAATTTAAAGAAACCAAACTACAACTATATATAAAATTACAGACAATATATTAAGATACAATAATAATCATCCAAGCGTCCCAAACATTATGCCCTCATTAATTCTAGGGAAAATTATGCTAAAAGACCAAAATCAAAAGTAAATTATGGTCAAGAACACCATGAATTCTATTTCTATTTTTTTTTTAATATGTCTATCTATTAACATATAAAATATAGTACAAAGCAAGACTTAATAGCAGGCTGACATGTGGTAGCACCATTTCTACCCATAATCCTTTTTTTTTTTTACCTTGAGATTTAGTTCAATCAAATTTTAAATTAGTTCATGTCCGATACATATGCCATGAGTTTCAATCAATTCATATTTTCTTTATACGATTTTCTTGGGATTTAGTTTAATCAAATTTTAAATTGGTTCATGTCCGATATATATGTCATGAGTTTGGATCAATTCATATTTTTGAATAGTATAAATATAAATTTAACTTAACAATAAAAACTCTAAGTAAATATTAAATTTATGTTATGAATATAATAATATCTTTGTGGATGTCCATATATCTCCCACTATCTCCTATATCTCTTATAGTCTCTAATATCTCTCATTATCTCTATATCCCTCAATTATGTCATATTATCATGTAATCTGTAGATTCTATCGAAGGTGTAAAGCTGTGCCAATAAATAGAAGTCATGTATAATGTATTGAGCACTCTTGAATGGAATGAGAAATACTCTCTCTTGTTGATCCTCTCTTCGTCTGTATGATAATTCTTTATCTCTTCTTTATTTATAATACGTTATCAGCACGAAGTTTTAACCAAGGTGCGTATGATATACTTTTCTATCCCATCATAATTTTAGAGCATCATCTTTATTATTTTTCTAGAGTATCATTTGCTCTGTTCAAATAAAAATACCTCGAGCATCATATATATGGTGTTTCAGAGTATCCGTATTCCTATTCAATTTATCTAGGATAATCTAAGCCATTATATGGAATTAAAAGGATTATCTACTGTTGTTTTAAACATCGGGTTTCATGGCTATGATTGGAGATTTTTTTCCCCCTCTATTTCTTATTGACCCATTTTGATGGAATTCGAAGTTCCAATAGATACTAGCAGTATCCGTAAAGATTTGCCATCTAAAGTTAAATGGCCAGAAGCCATATAATTCTAAGTTTTCATCTCATTGTAATTGAATGGCCAGAAGCCATATAACTCAAATTTTCCATTCTTTTCAAATTAAATGGCTAAAAGCCATATGATTTTGATTTTCTATATTATAGCCAGAAGCTATACAACTTGGAGTTTTTATCTTATGGCTAGAAGCCATATATATACATATATATGGGGTTAATTCTCTATTTTTTTTAGAATGACTTGAAGCCATATATATTTGATATTTTATCTTATTAAATAACTCGAAGTATTTAGGTATAAATTTTCCATCTTATGGCTAGAAGCCATATATTGATTACTGTTATCTTATTAAATGGCTAGAAGCCATATAATTTGAATTTTCTATTTTATGGCCAGAAGCCATATATATATATAATTCTGTTTTATCTTATTAAATGGCTAGTTGCCGTATAAATTTGATTTTCTATCTTACGGCTAGAAGCCATAGATATTTGAATTCTTTTTAATCTCATTAAAAGGCTAGAAGCCATATAATTTGTATTTTCTATTTTATGGCTAGAAGCCATATATATATATATAATTTTTCTTTATTTATATATATCATGTTGAATTTTCTATTTTATAGCCAGAAGCCATTTATATATATATATTTAAATTTTCTTTTATCTTATTAAATGATTCGCATTCATATAATTTTGATTTTCTATCTTATGACTAGAAGTCATAAATATTTAATTTTGTTATTTTATTAATTCGCTTGAAGCCATATAACATCAAAGTTTTATTTATGGTCAGAAATCATATATTTTTAATTTTTTTATTTTGAAATTAAATAGCTAGATGCCATGTATCTTTATTTTTTTTATTAAATGGCATGAAGCCATATAGTTTTGATTATGAGAAGGATCATTATATGGTTTGTTTATAAAATAAAAATTATGACAATTAGAATTATAAATAATGTAGCTCAGAAAACTAATGACTATATAGTAAAGAATGTATTGGTAAAAGAGTTTATTTTTTCTCTTTATTTCATGTTACATTTAATTAATTTGAAATTCAAGTTTTATTTTTATCTTATTCTCATATATTTTTGACATTCAATTTGATATTTATTAATATTATAATTTTCTTATTACTAAATGGCCAGCATACATTACACTCATGTTATTGAATGACATGAAAATAATAACTTATGATGTTTTTAAAACCCTGAAGGCTTATGGTTTAAATATGAAGTGACACAAATGATATTTAAAAATATATATAATTTCTAATATAGAGTCTTGAAGACTAATGAGTTATAAATAGCCCTGAAGGGTTATGATTCAAATCTTCCTAACTATATAGTTTGATTTTAGTCCTTATAGATTTTTTTTTGGTTGAATTTATAAATTTATGGATAAGTTTTGAAACATTACATAATATATACAAAGAAATAAAGTTTTTGAATAACGAAATATCGAGAATATATATTGTTAAAAAAAAATACTTCATATTTTGGGGGGGAAAAAAAGGTATAACAAAAAGTGAAGTATATCATATAGTGAAATAATAATATATTTTAGTTCCTGAAGAACTATATATAGAAATTTTTTTAAGAACTATATGTAATCAAAAAATTGA